TAAGGTGTTTGTTTGTAATTTGTCAAATTTAAAAAATCACATTGTGATTTTTTTATTCGACTAAATCGAGCACAAAATTAAGTTAAATCTATTATTATAATTTCCTCTTAGATAATGTATTTTAATTTAATTGTTCTAATTTTTTTACATTTTTTAGATTGGTTGTTTACTTGCCTGAAATATACTTGTTTATAAAAACTGTCCGACGCATATTACATAATGTGTTGTATAACAAGTAAGCATAATTTACAGTTACGGTGTTGTTGGGAGTAAATTAATATTTCTGTAATTATGTGTCTTTATTTTACCTATCGACAGATTTTCTGCAAGCCATTGCCCTTACCCTTAAAGCAAACTCAGTTTCAAAATATCAAAATCTGTTGTCGTTGATATAAAAAATTGTAAATGCCCCGGTGCGTGACGCGCGCACCTGCATCCTTACGTGCTATACTACAATATGCAACATGGGTTCGAACCAGTCGGTAGTCGTGAAGAAAGTGATTTGTCACTAGCGTCATGCTAGCGTCGTTATTTTTTGTTGATTTGTTGTTGCGCTCAGGTACCGCCAAGGTAAATTTCAAAACGTGTGAGGGTGACAAAATATTTTAATCTGAAATAGACTTTTTAAATATAATCTTCGTCATCAATAAATGACACGAAAGAGATTTACCGTTGCTGACTGTCATTAAAAAATAATAATTTTAAAATGAGAACTACAAAATTTTCAGTTACAATGTCACCTAAGTCAATATCCGCGTAAAAATTGTAACTGTCGCACCGCGGTTTTTGGTTTTTTTTATACAAGTTTACATGAGTTAGCCGGTTTTATCGGACGGTGCGAAGGGATCAGCTGTTGGCGGCGCATGTGCAGCTGCGAGGGGCGCTTCGGCCTCCGCTACCCGTCGCCGACCGCCACAGCCGTCCGCGAGGCATTCCGCCATTGACGCGCCGCACGGCACCCGCCTTTGCGCGATCACCCGAAACTATTGAGTCGATGGTGGCGCGCGCGCTCGCGTAACTAGTGTTTGTCGTGTGTTCGCTCACTGGGCTCTGGGCCAAGATGGACGCGCTGTTGGCGGCGCTCGTCGCGCTGATGGCACTGGCCGCCGCGATGGCCGCCGTGCTCAGCACTCTGTCGAAAGCTGCGATTTTTGCACTCCTGGCCATTGCTCCCTGTGTCTACCGCTACAGGAAGCGCATCTACGTGATATGGATGACTCTTCCCCGAGATCTAACGTGAGTATAAGCCAATCTATCCTTTCTTTGTCATTACAGTTTCAAGGTCTCATTATATTTTATAACGAAAGCGCTACCTCTACGTATAGGCGCCATCGATTTCTTGCTTGAGGACCGCAGTGTGGAAAATGTAAACAAATATGTACAAAAATCTAGGTAAATTTCTTTTTGATCTATTCATCTGTTTCTTAAGCTGCGGTAACCAATTTTCGTTGCTCTAAAACGTTTAATATGGATGAAAACGACGAGAAGCTAACGTTTCGGAAGATAATTTTTCAAGGACACCACACGGCTGTACAGGTTGACTATCTCAAAATTTTTCTTAGTTTACATAGAATCAATACCTCCAATAGCGTTGTTGCTTAATGAAGTGCATTTTTTATTAGTAACAATCACCAGTATGTTCCATACTTCAGCGAACTTATTTCTTATAATTAAATCGAGAATCAACAATTTTATTACATTACAAGTTATTTGACAATCCTAGTTTTTTTAAAACATGACATGGGTAAAATTGGAATATTAAATGTTACTAATAAGCTGTTGGGATTCTCACTTCACATAAACATATTTCCAGTATAACTAAAACGGGCAAATAAAATCAATCTTTTCGAATTCGAACATAAGGAAATTTGAATTTTTCCTCAATTGGTATCATTTCCTTTAATAGAGTAAGTAGGATCAGCACGCACTGCGCAGCGGTGCGGCCGGTGCGGTAAAAAAAATATTTTGCAACGCACTGCGCTGAGGTATGGTAAAAATATTTGACTTTGTAGTATGTAATTTGCTTATTTCCGTTTTCATTTTTAGCTTTTTTGCAGTGTACATACATATTAGTACATTGCCTTGCTGCTTGTGGAACTGGCCTGTACTTGTGGCCTTATGAAATAATACTTATTAAAAATTACTAATCGTCATCTAAGCGTAATTTTCAAAAATGTAGAAATTGTTGGATAATATTACTAGTTTTGATGGTATTCACGTAAATTGGATATTTGTTTGCGTGCCTTTTTTTGAAGCCGTCTCCAAAACACTTATTGTTTGGTATAATAAAGTTATAATGCATATTGTCGCCAAGCCGTTAAGGTACAAATTCGAAAATGGCAAGTCTTTCCTCTATGTTATAGCGCTATTGTTCGCTCACGCTAGACACTCGAGTACATTTTTCGAATAATTTGACGGCTATTATACTACCGTAATAAAAAGCTATGGCTATAGATAGAACGTAGCAAATTAGAGATAGATGAATCCAGGACAGTGGCGGATTTACCCTAAGGCCCAGCAGGCCCGGGGCCTAGGACGGCCAATCGTAACAATAAATTCACTGATGATAGCAAGAAATAACTCAAAGCACCACATTCTAAAACACTTGTCATATCTAGTTTTGTACGAGAACGAACCCATAGTTAAATAAATAAAACCTAAAACCGTTTTAAATGTTTTATTTAAATCTGAAACCTCCGAAAAATTCAAAACTAGCAGGTATTATAGTTAACTAAATTTCTGAGTTGATTTCGATAAAAGTTGGCAATAAAGTAAATTAATTCATTACGTAGTCTACTAGTATTTGATGAGTGCTGAGAAAGAGGCGGCTAGTACTAACTACATGGCCTGGGGCCTTGGGCAGCCAGGACTGCAAATCCGCCTCTAATCCAGGACGTGCCTAGCGGCGGCGCTTCCTTGTTTGTGAGATATCTCTTTACTCTTAATAGTAACCACCAGTCATGAATACTTGGACATATGATTGTGGCCTGCAGAGGATGCTGAAAGTTGATAATAAAATTTGGCCTCAACATCGAGGACGGTGGAGATTTAATTTATAATTCCGCATCTGTATCTTGTATATATTGTATCTTGAGAAATATACACAGGAGCTAATTGTAATTGCCATGCAGTCATGCAATTAGCATTTTCAGGCAGATGTGTTATTTTATTTTTTAGTATAAACGGACATATTAACATAGATTGTATGTTTTACGAGTGCGGAAAGTAGGTTATTCACAATGGGTTGACACTTGTCTTAGCCTCAGGCGAGGATTTAAGCATCACATATTTCTAACAACCTTGAAGCCGTGTAACACGCGTTTGAAGATAATACTGATATTTTGATGAAATGAAATGATGCATTTTCGGAATTTTCAAAATGTCTTTTGCAAGTTCTGCGTTACTTAAAATGTCACCGGGAGGAGGCAATTCCAAAATATCCACCAATTCACAAAGAAAACGAAAAAATATTAATTACTTATTCAAAAAATGAAACCATTTCAACAGATTTTAAGGAACATTTATTTGGCAAATTACAAAAATTTAGATGTTTATTAGAATTAATAGTATGATACATATGTAAACATGATGTTTAGTGTTTAGTACTTACTAAGAGTACTTACCTATCGATACGAAACTAAAACACACTTTGTTCGGTATATTTATTTGGCATTTTACAGTAAAATTACCCCTAAGCCTTATATTTTTCAAAGTGATGCTGAAAAAACTTGCCCAACTAATAATTATTTCTACAAATTCAATGTATATACATATAATATTGTTTGTAGTGATTATTACTTACCGTTTTATTACTTACTCAATTAAAAATTAAGTGTGGGTTTTTATTTGTTTCTGAATATCTAAATTGTATGAGCACCACTAAGCAACCACATTTCCAAAGCATTAAAAATAGCACCGCAATCATGTTTTCTATACATAGATTTAGTATATTTCTATACCTGTTATTGGTTTGTGACAATGTATTTTTACATGTTCGACGAAAAAAAAACTGATATTGTCAGTCTGAGAAATTATTCAAGTGTCTAACGATAGAAATTATTCACGCGTCGAACGGCTACTGTTTACACTTTTAGCAGAAAAATAAACAAGCATTGCATTCTAATTCTTTCGTTTTAGGCAGATATTTCCTTTGTGACTTAACTGTGAATCCATATATTAAAATTCATGTAGCTTGCCTTCGATTTCGCCATTGTAAAGTTTAAAAAATAACCATGCAAATAATACCCATCAGTTACTTCTTTTATAAAATTGGTACCTTTTCTGTTTACTT